CTCACATGGGAAGACCGCCATGAGGGTGAATTACACGGGACAGCCACTTTTGGTGGTCGCTCACATGGGATGACCTCTATAAGGGTCAACTACATAGGAGAGCCTCTTTTGGAGGTCGCTCACACTCATTGACCTCTATAAGGGTCAGTTACGCAGGACAGCCTCTTTGGGAAGTCGCTCACATGGGATGACCTCTATAAGGGTCAACTACATAGGAGAGCCTCTTTTGGAGGTCGCTCACACTCATTGACCTCTATAAGGGTCAGTTACGCAGGACAGCCTCTTTGGGAAGTCGCTCACTTGGGATGAACTCTATGAGGGTCAATTACACGGAACAGTCGCCTTTGGAGGTCACTCACATGGGATAACCTCTATGAGGGTCAATTACATGGGACAGTCGCCTTTGGAGGTCACTCACATGGGAGGACCTCCATGTGGGTGGATTACACGGGACAGCCTCTTTTGGAGGTAGTTCACATGGTATGACCTCTATAAGGGTCAATTACAAGGAGAGCCTCTTTTGGAGGTTGCTCACACTCGATAACCTCTATGAGGGTCAATTACACAGGACAGCCTCTTTTGGAAGTCTCTCACTCAGGATGATCTCTATGAGGGTAAATTACTTGGGACAGCCTCCTTTGGAGGTCGCTCACACGGGGTGACCTCTATGAGGGTCAATTACACGGTTCAGCCCCTTTTGGAGGTCATTAGCACAGGATAATCTCTATCAGCTGTCAAGGAAATAGTACAGCCTCTGTTAGGGCCTTTCACACAGAACAGTCCCTATCAGGGCCTCTCATACAGGATAGCCTGGGTCAAGGGTCAGTCGTGTAGAATAATCTCTCAGAGGTCAGACACAAAGCACAACCTCTATCGGAGGCTGATTACATAAGATAGCCTGTAGCAGAGGACAATCACATAGGACAGCTTACACTGGAGGTCAATTACATAGGAAAACCTCCAGCAGAGGACATCCCATGTCAGGTGGTCAGTTACATAGGATAGCCTCTAGTGGAAGACAGTTACATAGGACAGCCTCTAGTGGAGGACAGTTACAAAGGATAGCCCTAGTGGAGGACAGTTACAAAGGATAGCCCTAGTGGAGGACAGTTAAATAGGACAGCCTCTATAGGAGATCAGTCACATAGGACAGCCTCTATAGGAGATCAGTTACAGAGAATAGCCTCTAGCAGAGGACAGTCACATAGGACAGCCTCTATAGGAGATCAGTTACATAGGATAGCCTGTAGTAGAGGACAGCCACATAGGACAGCCTCTATAGGAGATCAGTTACATAGGATAGCCTCTAGCAAAGAAAAGTCACATAGCAAAAGCCCCTATAGGAGGTCAGTTACATAGGATAGCTTCTAGTGGAGGACAATTAAATAGGACAGCCTGTATAGGAGGTCAGTTACATAGGATAGCCTCTAGCAAAGGACAGCCTCTATGGGTGGTCAATTACATAGCATAGACTCTACTGGAGGGCAGTCACATAGGAAAGCCCCTATAAGAGGTCAGTTACATAGGATAGCCTCTAGTGGAGAACAGTTACATAGGACAGCCTCTATAGAAGGTCAGCAACATAGGACAGCCTCTAGCCAACGACAGTCACATGGGACAGGCTCTATAGGAGGTCAGTTACATAGGATAGCCTCTAGTGGAGAACAGTTACATAGGACAGCCTCTACAGAAGGTCAGCAACATAGGACAGCCTCTAGCAAACGACAGTCACATGGGACAGGTTCTATAGGAGGTCAGTTACATAGGATAGCCTCTAGCAGAGGACAGTCACATAGGACATCCTCTACAAGAGGTCAATTACATAGGATAGCTTCTAGTGGAGGACAATTAAATAGGATAGCCTCTATCAAAGGACAGTCACATGGGACAGCCTCTATTGGAGGTCAGTTAAATAGGACAGCCTCTAGCAGAAGACAGTCACATGGGAAAGCCTCTATAGGAGGTCAGTTACATAGAATAGCCTCTAGTGTAGGACAGTTACATAGGACAGCCTCTATAGGAGGTCAGTTACATAGGCTAGCCTCTAGCAGGAGACAGTGACATAAAACAGCCTCTATAAGATGTCAGTTACATAGGATAGCCTCTAGCAGAGGTCAGTCATATAGGACAGCCTCTATAGAAGATCAGTTACATAGGACAGCCTCTAAAGAAGGTCAGTTACACAGGATAGCCTCTAGTGAAGGACAGTCATATAGGACAGCCTCTATAGAAGATCAGTTACATAGGACAGCCTCTAAGGAAGGTCAGTTACATAGGATAGCATCTAGCAGAAGACAGTCACATGGGAAAGCCTCTATAGGAGTTCAGTTACATAAGCTAGCCTCTAGCAGAAGACAGTGACATAAAACAGCCTCTATAAGATGTCAGTTACATAGGATAGCCTCTAGCAGAGGACAGTCATATAGGACAGCCTCTATAGAAGATCAGTTACATAGGACAGCCTCTAAAGAAGGTCAGTTACATAGGATAGCCTCTAGTGAAGGACAGTCATATAGGACAGCCTCTATAGAAGATGTTACATAGGACAGCCTCTAAAGAAGGTCAGTTACATAGGATAGCCTCTAGTGAAGGATAGTCACATAGGACAGCCTCTATAAGGGGTCAGTCACATAGGACAGCCTCTATAGGATATCAGTTACATAGGATAGCCTCTAGTGGAGGACAGTCACAGGATATTATCTAACACTTGGTAGCCAGGAAGCGCCCCCACCCCATCTGTGGGTAACATTCCTGTAGTTTGATTCTGCTCCCGGGGGGGGGACCATTTTTCTGCACACCGCTGTCTTCCTGCTTAGCCTCCTTTAGCCTAAACTGGCGGCCCCCATGGAATCATAGGCCGTATACAACATGGAGCTCCTCCAGCCCTGGAATTGGCCTAGGAGCTGACATTTTCTCAGTATTGTTCCCCCAGAATGGGATCTCCGTCAGAAGACACAGATGAGGGGGAGGGGTGGGTTGGCCTGGAGGCAAGCGACGTCTCAGTATTAATAGATACAAGGCCGGTTATTTGTACACGGGCCTCCGAGGAGTGACAATCTCTCTGTGTACACAGCCTATTCCTTCCAGCAGGCGATAACAAGGCGAAGCCGCGAAATAACCGGGACCCCCGGGGTCACCTGGACACCCGGCCACGTTTACTCAACTAATAGCTTCCTATCATGGGACTAATGTGAGCTCCACTTCTGTCGCTGTGACGTCATCGGGAGTCTCTGAACGCCCGGCGCTATTCCCTCACCGCAAATGAGATCCCAGAGAGGGTGACCCTGATGGAGGCGCCCAAGGGTGGGAGGGGATGGGGTTAACCCATTCTGTACCAGCCAATAGAAACACTGGGCAGCAATCGGAATGAACAGCAACATTTTGCCCGTGCCTCATTTCCAGAAATTTGGTCAAAATTGTCCAAGGAATGTTACCATGCCTCAAATTTAGCAAAAAAAAACGTGAAAAACACTAGAAATTTAGAGATTTTTTTTTATCAAACTTACATTATATTGCCAAAAGTATTGGTCTCCGGCCTTTCCACGAACATGACCTTTAATGGCCCCCCAGTCTTAGTCCGTAGGGTTCAATATTGAGTTGGCCCCGCCCTTTGCATCTATAACAGCTTCAACTCTTCTGGGAAGGCCGTCCACAAGGTTTAGGAGGGTGTCTATGGGAAGGTTGGACCATTCTTCCAGAAGCACATTTGTCAGGTCAGGCACTGATGTCGGGGGAGGATGCCTGGCTCACGGTCTCCGCTCTAATTCATCCCAAAGGTGTTCTATGGGGTTGAGGTCAGGACTCTGTGCAGGACAGTCAAGTTCCTCCACCCCAAACTGGCTCCTCCATGTCTTTATGGACCTTGCTTTGTGCACTGGTGTGCAGTCATGTTAGAACAGGAAGGGGCCGTCCCCAAACTCTTCCCACAAAGTTGTGAGCGTGAGATTGTCCAAAATGTCTTAAGATCTCCCTTCACTGGAACTAGGGGGCCAAGCCCAACCCCTGAAAAAAAACAACCCCACACCATAATCCCCCCCCTCCACCAAACTTTACATTTGGCACAATGCAGTCAGGCAAGTACCGTTCTCTTGGCAACAGCCAAACCCAGACACAACCATCGGATTGCCAGAGAGAGAAGCATGATTGGTCACTCCAGAGAACACGTCTCCACTGCTCTAGAGTCCAGTGGCGGTGTGCTTTACACCACGGCATCCGACGTTTTGCATTGCACTTGGTGATGTAAGGCTTGGATGCAGCTGCTCGGCCATGGAAACCCATTCCATGAAGCTCTCTACTCACTGTTGTTGGGCTCATCTGAAGGCCACACCAAGTTTGGAGGTCTTTAGCTATTGACTCTGCAGACAGTTGGTGACTTCTGCGCACTGTGTGCTTCAGCATGCGCTGACCCCGCTCTGTCATGTGACGTGGCCTACCACTTGGTGGCTGAGTTGCTGTTGTTCCCAGTTGCTTCCACTTTGTTATAATCCCACTAACAGTTGAGTGTGGAATATTTAGTAGCCAGGGAATGTCACGGATGGACTTATTGCACAGGTGACAACCTATCACGGGACCCGCTTGGAGTCACTGAGCTCCTGAGAGCGACCCATTCTTTCACCAATGTTTGTAGAAGCTGTCTGCATGCCTAGGTGATGATTGTATACAGCTGTGGCCATGGAGGTGATTGGAACACCTGAATCACATGATTTGGAGGGCGGGGCCAATACTTTTGGTAATATAGTGTATACTGATCTGACTGCTTTGAGAAGGTTACTGAAGGACTATTTGCTTTGTGAGGCAAAGCTAGCCGAAAATGCCACAGTTGGTGGGGATAGGTTTTATCTTCTCTGGACCAAAATTGGAGGCAAGAGGTCCCGTTTTTGGAACTTGGTGGTCTTGTACAACCAACAGATATGATTGGATTGGGTCTCCTGTGATCTCACACATGATTTCCACCTAAGGCAGACTGTGTGGTCTGTCTGGTTGTAATTTGTGTAGCGGCTTCATGTGGTCATTTTCCTCACCCGTTTCAGCTTGTCCCAGATCTCCTCCTTGGACAGGCCGTTCAGTGAGCCGACGATGATGAGGAAACATCCGAGGAAGCACGGGGCAAATCCCCCCTGTGAACACAGAGAGAGGAGGATACGTGAGCCGCTCTCCAGTCTCCATTTCAGTCTATGGTCCCATCCTGGATTATCGGCCCTCACCTGGTCCAGAAGCATCTTCTTCAAGGCTACAGTCTTACTGCTCCCGGGAACCAGACCATCCAGAACTTTATACCAACCACCGACCACCGGGCCCTGTGAGGAGAGATGGGAAGGATCATAGAGACGACCAGACTGCTCCACCTGGAATCTGATACACCCAACACTGATAATGGACATCCATGTCTGCAACCTCCTAACACAAATAATGACTGAGGCCACCCTCACACCACTGTGTACCATGCTCCACCCCACTCCCTACAGTGTGTCTGTCTCCTCCCCTCCACTCCCTACAGTGTGTCTGTCTCCTCTCCTCCGCTCCCTACAGTGTGTGTCTCCTCTCCTCCGCTCCCTACAGTGTGTCTGTCTCCTCTCCTCCGCTCCCTACAGTGTATCTGTCTCCTCTCCTCCGCTCCCTACAGTGTGTCTGTCTCCTCCCCTCCGCTCCCTACAGTGTGTCTGTCTCCTCCCCTCCACTCCCTACAGTGTGTCTGTCTCCTCTCCTCCACTCCCTACAGTGTGTCTGTCTCCTCTCCTCCGCTCCCTACAGTGTGTGTCTCCTCTCCTCCGCTCCCTACAGTGTGTCTGTCTCCTCTCCTCCGCTCCCTACAGTGTATCTGTCTCCTCTCCTCCGCTCCCTACAGTGTGTCTGTCTCCTCCCCTCCGCTCCCTACATTGTGTCTGTCTCCTCCCCTCCGCTCCCTACATTGTGTCTGTCTCCTCTCCTCCGCTCCCTTCATTGTGTCTGTCTCCTCTCCTCCGCTCCCTACATTGAGTCTGTCTCCTCTCCTCCGCTCCCTACATTGTGTCTGTCTCCTCTCCTCCGCTCCCTACATTTTGTCTGTCTCCTCTCCTCCGCTCCCTACATTGTGTCTGTCTCCTCTCCTCCGCTCCCTACATTGTGTCTGTCTCCTCTCCTCCGCTCCCTACATTGTGTCTGTCTCCTCTCCTCCGCTCCCTACATTGTGTCTGTCTCCTCCCCCCGCTCCCTACATTGTGTCTGTCTCCTCCCCTCCGCTCCCTACATTGTGTTTGTCTCCTCCCCCCACTCCCTACAATGTGTCTGTCTCCTCCCCCCACTCCCTACAATGTGTCTCCTCCCCCCACTCCCTACAGTGTGTCTGTCTCCTCCACTCCCTAAATTGTGTCTGTCTCCTCCCCTCCACTCCCTACATTGTGTCTGTCTCCTCCCCCTACTCCCTACATTGTGTCTGTCTCCTCCCCCCTACTCCCTACATTGTGTCTGTCTCCTCCCCTCCACTCCCTACATTGTGTCTGTCTCCTCCCCCCACTCCCTACATTGTGTCTGTCTCCTCCCCCCACTCCCTACAATGTGTCTGTCTCCTCCCCCTACTCCCTACAATGTGTCTGTCTCCTCCCCCTACTATGTGTCTGTTTCCTCCCCCCACTCGAATACAATGAATCTGTCTCCTCCCCCCACTCCCTACAATGTGTGTCTCCTCCCCCTACTCCCTACAATGTGTCTGTCTCCTCCCCCATTCCCTACACCATATCTGTCTCCCCCCTCCCCCCATCTGTCTCCTCCCCCCCACTCCCTACACCATATCTGTCTCCTTCCCCCACTCCCTACACCATATCTGTCTCCTCCCCCCCATTCCCTACACCATATCTGTCTCCTCCCCCCCACTCCCTACACCATATCTGTCTCCTCCCCCCCACTCCCTACACCATACTGTCTCCTCCCCCCCACTCTACACCATATCTGTCTCCTCCCCCCCCCACTCCCTACACCATATCTGTCTCCTCCCCTCCACTCCCTACACCATATCTGTCTCCTCCCCCCCCCACTCCCTACACCATATCTGTCTCCTCCCCTCCAGTCCCCCTACACCATATCTGTCTCCCCCCCCCCCACTCCCTACACCATATCTGTCTCCCCCCCCCCCCCACTCCCTACACCATTCTGTGTTGTTCTTACCACAAAACAGAGTCCAACCCCCATCATCTTCAGCGTCCTCTCCACACTGTGACCCTGCACTCCTCTCCGCTCCACCAATTGCTGGGAAATGACATCTCCCACCCCCATCAGGGACCCTGTGGACAAGACAGGACTGGTTAGAGTTCCGCAGGGGAGGGGCTAAAAGAGCACGAAGACATGGGGGAAGGGGAGAGACATCCCCCCAGAGGGAGGGGCTTAGCGCATGATTAGAGGGATGCCTAAAAGTTAAAAAGTGCTATCATTATAATAGAAAAGTATAGTATAGAAAATAAAAGAATAGAGAAAAACAGAATAGAATAGAAACAATATAGCCATCTTCCAAATTTCACATAGAATAGAATAAAATAGAAAGAAAAATAGCCATCTTTCAAATTTCAAAATATTCGATTTTATTCTATCATTCTATTATTTTCTATTCCATGCGCCTTTATTTTCTTTTCCATTCTATTATTTTATTTTCTATTCTATTCTTTTCTAATTTTGAATTTCAGAAGACAGCCATTTTCTATTTTATTCTACTCTATTCTATTATTGTATTCTTATATTTTCTTTTCTAGTCCTTTCTTTTCTATTCAGTTTTACTCTATTCTTTTTTGTTTTATTCTATTCTTTTCTAAATTAGATTTTTGGAAGACACCTATTTTCTATTTATTCTATTCTAATATTTTCTATTCTATTCCCTTATTTTCTATTCTTTTCTGTTTTATTCTATTCCTTTCTAGATTTGAAGACAGCTATTTTCCATTTTATTCTATTCTAATCTATTCTATTATTTTCTATTTCTTTATTTTATTTTCAATTCTATTCTTTTATTTTCTATTCTATTCTTTTTTTAGCCTATTATTTTCTGTTTCATTCTATTCCTTTCTAAATTTTAATTTCAGAAGACAGCTATATTCTATTTTATTCTATTCTAATCTATTCTTTTATTTTCTATTCTATTATCTTATATTCTATCCTGTTTCGCTCTATTATTTTCTGTTTTATTCTATTTTATTCTGTTCTAAATTTTAATTTCGGAAGGCAGCTATTTGCTATTTTATTCTATTCTATTATTTTCAATTATATTCCTTTAATTTCTGTTCTGTTTTATTCTATTCTTTTTTGTTCTATTCTATTTTATTCTATTCTTTTCTATATTTAAATTTCAAAAGACAGTTATTTTTCTATTTTATTCTATTCTATTATTTTCTATTCTATTCCTTCATTTTCTTTTCTATTCTATTCTTTTATTTTCTATTCTGTTCTGTTTTATTCTGTAGTGACAGTCTGGTTTGGTCACATGGGCTGAGACAGGTTTGCCTAGTGTGGCCATTCACTAATAAAGAGGACCTGTTCTTGGAGGGAGAGGGCTTTTCCGAGACTTGCCTTTCTCGGCGGGCCCTGAAGAAGGACCTTTGTAACTCCCAAATCGAGTTTTACTTCTGGATTTTTTCAGAGCCGGTTCCCACCAGAATCACACAGGAACGCCGTCCTGAGGTTCCTGTGCGTTCCCCAAGTCTCCACTACTGATCTGGTAAAATCATACTTTGAGGTTAGTTATGAAGACGTGGAGGTAAGTAGAGCGGACACTGACCTGCGGTGATGATCTGTACCTTCCAGGGGTGAGCGGCCAATAACCTCTGGTACCCTCGCCATAGCCCGGCCATACCGCCTGCAGAGGACGATGGGGGGTTATACCAGAGAGATCTGCACTTCAGTGCTATCAATGGCAACGTATCACTCTAATGTTGGGGTGCCATTCACAATCAATGATAACGTATCACTCTAATGTTGGGGTGCCATTCACAATCAATGATAACGTATCACTCTACTGTTGGGGTGCCATTCACAATCAATGACAACGTATCACTCTAATGTTGGGGTGCCATTCACAATCAATGATAACGTATCACTCTACTGTTGGGGTGCCATTCACAATCAATGATAACGTATCACTCTACTGTTGGGGTGCCATTCACAATCAATGACAATGTATCACTCTAATGTTGGGGTGCCATTCACAATCAATAACGTATTACTCTACTGTTGGGGTGCCATTCACAACCAATGACAACGTATCACTCTAATGTTGGGGTGCCATTCACAATCAATGATAACGTATCACTCTACTGTTGGGGTGCCATTCACAATCAATGATAACGTATCACTCTACTGTTGGGGTGCCATTCACAACCAATGACAACGTATCACTCTACTGTTGGGGTGCCATTCACAATCAATGACAATGTATCACTCTAATGTTGGGGTGCCATTCACAATCAAATAACGTATTACTCTACTGTTGGGGTGCCATTCACAACCAATGACAACGTATCACTCTACTGTTGGGGTGCCATTCACAATCAATGACAATGTATCACTCTAATGTTGGGGTGCCATTCACAATCAATAACGTATTACTCTACTGTTGGGGTGCCATTCACAACCAATGACAACGTATCACTCTACTGTTGGGGTGCCATTCACAATCAATGATAACGTATCACTCTACTGTTGGGGTGCCATTCACAACCAATGACAACGTATCACTCTACTGTTGGGGTGCCATTCACAATCAATGACAATGTATCACTCTAATGTTGGGGTGCCATTCACAATCAATAACGTATTACTCTACTGTTGGGGTGCCATTCACAACCAATGACAACGTATCACTCTACTGTTGGGGTGCCATTCACAACCAATGACAACGTATCACTCTGTTGGGGTACCATTCACAATCAATGATAACGTATCACTCTACTGTTGGGGTGCCATTCACAATCAATGATAACGTATCACTCTACTGTTGGGGTGCCATTCACAATCAATGATAACGTATCACTCTACTGTTGGGGTGCCATTCACAACCAATGACAACGTATCACTCTAATGTTGGGTTCCATTCACAATCAATGATAACGTATCACTCTACTGTTGGGGTGCCATTCACAATCAATGACAACGTATCACTCTAATGTTGGGGTGCCATTCACAATCAATGACAATGTATCACTCTACTGTTGGGGTGCCATTCACAATCAATGATAATGTATCACTCTACTGTTGGGGATGCCATTCACAATCAATAACGTATCACTCTACTGTTGGGGTGCCATTCACAACCAATGACAACGTATCACTCTAATGTTGGGGTGTCATTCACAATCAATGATAACGTATCACTCTAATGTTGGGGTGCCATTCACAACCAATGACAACGTATCACTCTACTGTTGGGGTGCCATTCACAATCAATGACAATGTATCACTCTAATGTTGGGGTGCCATTCACAATCAATAACGTATCACTCTACTGTTGGGGTGCCATTCACAATCAATGATAACGTATCACTCTACTGTTGGGGTGCCATTCACAACCAATGACAACGTATCACTCTACTGTTGGGGTGCCATTCACAATCAATGACAATGTATCACTCTAATGTTGGGGTGCCATTCACAATCAATAACGTATTACTCTACTGTTGGGGGGGTGCCATTCACAACCAATGACAACGTATCACTCTACTGTTGGGGTGCCATTCACAATCAATGATAACGTATTACTCTACTGTTGGGGTGCCATTCACAACCAATGACAACGTATCACTCTACTGTTGGGGTGCCATTCACAACCAATGACAACGTATCACTCTACTGTTGGGGTGCCATTCACAACCAATGACAACGTATCACTCTGTTGGGGTACCATTCACAATCAATGATAACGTATCACTCTACTGTTGGGGTGCCATTCACAATCAATGATAATGTATCACTCTACTGTTGGGGTGCCATTCACAATCAATGATAACGTATCACTCTACTGTTGGGGTGCCATTCACAACCAATGACAACGTATCACTCTAATGTTGGGGTTCCATTCATGATGTGCAATCAATGATAACGTATCACTCTACTGTTGGGGTGCCATTCACAATCAATGACAACGTATCACTCTAATGTTGGGGTGCCATTCACAATCAATGACAATGTATCACTCTACTGTTGGGGTGCCATTCACAATCAATGATAATGTATCACTCTACTGTTGGGGCCATTCCATTCAATAACGTATCACTCTACTGTTGGGGTGCCATTCACAACCAATGACAACGTATCACTCTAATGTTGGGGGGTGCCATTCACAATCAATGATAACGTATCACTCTAATGTTGGGGGTGCCATTCACAATCAATGATAACGTATCACTCTACTGTTGGGGTGCCATTCACAATCAATGATAATGTATCACTCTACTGTTGGGGTGCCATTCACAACCAATGACAACGTGGCAATCACTCTACTGTTGGGGTGCCATTCACAATCAATGACAACGTATCACTCTACTGTTGGGGTGCCATTCACAATCAATGACAACGTATCACTCTAATGTGTTGGGGTGCCATTCACAATCAATGACAATGTATCACTCTACTGTTGGGGTGCCATTCACAATCAATCAATAATGTCCCAGAGTGAACGGCACCCCAACAGTAGAGCGCTACATTGCCATTGATTGTGAATGGCACCCCAACAGAATGCTACCTTACCATTGATTGTGTGAATGGCACCCCAACAGAATGCTACCTTACCATTGATTGTGAATGGCACCCCAACAGTAGAGTGCTACATTGCCATTGATTGTGAATGGTACCCCCAGAGTGAACTGCACCTCAACAATAGAGTGCTACATAGCCTCTGGTTGTGATTGGAACCCCAACAGTACAGCATTATGTTGTCATTGACTGAATGGAACCCCAATAGTAATGACAACATAATGCTCTACTGTTTGGGTGCCAATCACAACCAGAGGCAATGTAGCACTCTATTGTTGAGGTGCAGTTCACTCTGGGTGTACCATTCACGATCAATGTCAATTAAGCACTCTACTGTTGGGTGCCATTCACAATCAATGGTAAGGTAGCATTTTGTTGGGGTGCCATTCACAATCAATGGCAATGTAGCGCTCTACTGTTGGGATGCTGTTCACTCTGGGGGTACCATTCACAATCAGTGGCAATGTAGCACTTTACTGTTGGGGTGTCATTCACAATCAATGCAACGTATCACTCTTTTGTTTGGGGTGCCATTCACAATCTATTGCACTGTATCACTCTACTGTTGGGGTGCCATTCAGAATCAACAGAAATCTGGTGCTCTACTGTCGGGGTGCCATTTCACCATCAACCATCAATGTAGTGCTTAACTGTTGGGGTGCCATTCACAATTGATTAGAATGTAGTGCTCCACTATTGGGGTGCCATTCATGATGTGCATGGCACCCCAACAGTAAAGCATTACATTGCCACTGATTGTGAATGGTACCCCCAGAGTAAAGTTGGGTGCCATTCACAATCAATAGCAATGTAGCACTCTACTGTTGGGGTGCCGTTCACTCTGGGGGTACCATTCACAATCAGTGGCAATGTAGCGCTCTACTGTTGGGATGCCATTCACAATCAATGGTAAGGTAGCATTCCACTGTTGGGGTGCCATTCACTCTGGGGGTACCATTCACGATTAGTGGCAATGTAGCGCTCTATTGTCAGGGTGCCATTCACAATCATTGACAAGGTAGCATTCTAGTGTTGGGGTGCCAATCACAATCATTGACAAGGTAGCATTCTAGTATTGCACTCTACTGTTGGGGGTGCCATGCGTTTTGGTTGGACACACATTGCCACGCATGCGTGATTGGGGGCCCCAATCATTTCCAGGGACGAGGCGTCACTCTATCTCGGTCTATACGTCCCGAGGAATGCCAATACACACCAAGAGATGATTGTACACGATACATTGTAACTCCTCAGGTATATGAACAGATAGAAATAGTCAGCTGGTCCAGGATTGGTTCCACTCACTCATTTACATTTACAAAAACTGATTTTTCTAAAAACGATCCCCCGCCCCGTCGCAGAGCGCAGACGACCCCGACTCCACACACAATCACGCATCGTACGTTCCAATCATAAACTGAAAACACGCACACGCTCATGACTTCAAATGTCCCGTCCCCTCCAGCTGTCCTTTCTGAGCCACATTCGCCACCCGGATCCCACCGTAACATTCGCTATATCTATACCGCAGCAGGGGCGGACTGACCATTTGGAAACTCGGGTGCTTCCCGAGGGCCCGGGGTCAGTAGGGGGCCCCATGAGATGCCCCTGGTACCTTTTTCATAGGCTTTTTTGAGTTTGGGCAAGGACACAGGGGCCCCATGATCCCCTATTTCCCAGGGGACCCATGAGTTGTCAGTCTGCCCCTGTACCACGGCCAATGTTCCTGTCGCCAATCGCTTTTAAACATTTGCTGATTTAACCGATGAACTCTACAGCGGCAGAGCAAACCGAACTCTGCAAAAGGACGATAAAAGTGCGATCACCCAACTGTCCAATCAGGCGCCAGACCGAATCCTGACCTTCTAGATCCCACTGATTGGGTGTTCAGAGTTCACGCCGTAGCCAACACTTTGAGCATACAGATCTGCAGATACAGTGTGACACCTTCCATGTTACTCACCCAGCAGCTGCCAGCACAGGAAGTCATGTCATCCCCCCACCCTGTGCATTCTGGGAGGTGTAGTCCTTTGGTCCTGTAATGAGAGCCATGTGACATTGGATGGGGTGGCGAGCAGTCCATTCATCGCTGGGAGGACACGGCCATACA